ATTATAATTATTACTTCATGGAGTAACCCGGAGCAACCCGGAGCAACCCGCGGAGTACCAGTGATACATTTAACCCGGGTTGGGTTGGGTTAACCATTGCTCCGCTATAATATGAACCCAACCCAACCCATTATGTTCTATTAACAACCCTACTTTTTATATCTAAATTTAATAATCTTTATTACTGTGTCATTACTGTGCCTTACTGTGCACTATTGTGTCTTACTGTATACTACTACTATTGATTACTATTCCTTTATATTATTTACTAAATATATCTAACACTAATTAATACTATATATTAATAATTATAATTAAATAATGTTATGTGATGATAATTAATGTTATAAATTGATAATTATGTTTGTGTAACTAAATATCACGTGAACACGTGATTTGTACTATTATCCGTGACTAATTAATGTGTGTTACAAAATATAATATGTAATGACTCAAGTCAAGCTGGACCGTGATTTGATCAGCTTGAAGCCGATGACTGAAACCCTCTAGATTTAGACACGTGGAGTGAAAATCTGTTGGTGATAACGATATAACTCTATTTTGTTACACATATAAACGTTTATTGACTAAAAAAATTCCAAAAATTATAATTTTAACGCATATTTGATGGTGATCTATAAAAAGACCTTAGCATTTAGTACAGCATGCGCTTAGGTTTTTTTTTGTAACTTCTTCACAAGCAAGGAGCGTAACTTTTCAATATTAAAATGAACTCGTTTTTATATATATAAGAGAGAAATATGAAATTTTAGAAAATTTTATTTTAAATGATCATCATTAGAAAATGGGGGTAACTTAAATTTAAGGGAAAAAATTTTTTTTTTTTGAAATTATGGAGCAGGTCCTAAATAATTATATTCTCCAACCCGCTCTGGCACATAATCTACATCAAAATGTTGTGAAACGGGGCTCGTGATCACCGAAAATCGATGGATCTTTTTGTGATTGTCTATATAAATTAAATCAAAAAAAAAAAAAAATTTCGTATCGTGATTAATTACCTAAAAATTAAACAATAGTAGATAAACCAGTACTCATAAACCAGTATAGAACTTACCATTTTCGAAATTTCCTTCAACCATACATTTTTCGCAAAGATCAACTTCACGGCTCTCGTCACAATCCATGCAAAGAAATCGGGTACCAATTATTGGATCCTTATGACAACTATCACACTTACAAAATAAGAAAAATTACAAATAACGTCACATAGATGTTTATTAAATGATTGGTGGGAGAAATTTATATAAAAATCTTGTATCTCAAAATCCAGACGGAACCAATTTATTATCATTACGTAAACTTTTTAAGAATAAACCAATTTTCATATAACTGTTTCCATCATAACAATCGGAAAAAAAAATTATATGATCAATGAATAATAAAGTCCTTTGGAAAGATTAAAATTTTTACGTTTTAATTTTTTTTTTTCAAAGGGAACGTTAATATTGGTTTTGGCTGGATTTTGATGATCCAAAAATAGCTATTAAATTTCCCCAAATTTAAAAAATTTCAAATGCACACGTTGATTAAAAAAAAAAAAGTGGAAAATACTCACGCAATAACCGTGATGGATTGGTCCATCATTTTCACATGACTAATAAACATGAGTATATATATTAATCTACACAATAAATTTTAACGTAACGAATGGATAAAATAAAATACCGGTGTCATTTCAACATCTTGCATTTGGTCATCTTTATCAAAAGACATCATCATCACATTTTTAATACTGGATTCATCGTCATCGTCAGGCATATATAATGTAGGTGGAGGTTGTGCTTCCATATATGCAATTCCGGAAACCCTAAAGACAAGAGAGTAGAAGGTAAGCAAAAAAAGATAAACAAAAGGATCATTGTTTTCAGAATATATAATTACCTTGGGCGACGGATTCTTTTTTCTGGTGGAATTTTATTTTTGGCTACTTTATTAGTTCTTTTATTTTTGGATATTGTATTTTTTGGTGATGATGCTGAAGACTAAAATAAATAAATAATAATAATGATGATGATAAAATTTAACTTTTTTTTTTATCCTCCAATAAATAACTAAACCACCAAATATCCTTCCAGGAACAGGTAAGCCACTTTTTGCCAATTTTTTATTTTATAAAAAAAAAAAAATTTTTTCATCCGCCCAGTAACCTGAATATATATTTTTTGAAAATTCAAATATGATTGATTTCTTTCATTTCGACACTATTACCAATAAAGATGTCTGAAGTAGCTTTACCTGTTTTGGTGCCCTGGGTTTTTAAAGCTATTTGCAATTTGGATTTCCTCTTCAAGATATTTATCAAGTAAACGTTCCAATCGAGAAAAAAATTTTTTTTTTTTTTGAAAAAATGTGTGCTTATAAACGAATCAACTTAATTGCCACAATACCCACCTGTTCTTCATTTGTCCATGATAAATTATTGGTAGAATTTTTCGGTGAACCATCGATTGTTTTAGGTTCATTAGATTTCTAATAATAGAAATGTATTATAAATATATTATAAAATGGGTTATAAAATATATTATAAAGATATGAAAGTGAAAAATAAATAAATGATTTACCATCTTTAAATTACAATTCGTCTCTCCAGTGGGATTCCCTACACTATTTTTTTTGATGATACCATTTTAATATTCAGTTATAATAATAATAATAATAATAATGTAACATTAGGTAACATTAGTCAAATTATTTAATTTATTTAATCAAACCTTGATGAACCATTTGTCACTTTGGATGAGTTTGCGCGTCCCGAAGATCCTGACAACGATGATTTTTTACATGATTCTCTTGCTTTCCAATTTAATATTTTTGATGAATACATGTAATTATATTCGTCATCACTATCTCGGTCGTTTCGCTTTTTAGAACGCGTAGACAATATGGCATTCGGTGGAACTTTAAATCCCAATTCTTGAGCCTTTTTATGAACCATTTCCGTAAGATCTGGTGATTCATCTCGATTAGATCGCGATTCCAGCGGGTTATTCTAATTAATTTAATTTAATGATTGTTGCGTCACCACATCAGATGGATCGTTAAATTCCTTAAATTCTTTCTTTTAAAGTTCCTTCATAAATTTCTCATTTTTGATTAAACTAACCTTCAGATTTTCTGCAGCTTCTTTATCTGAAATTAATTTCAAAATGTTATAAATGTTATATGAATGAAATATTATTAAAATGTCAATGTAATCATATTTACTATTGATAAAACCTACCCAATCGCGCTTTGTACTCCAATGGATTAGTATGATATCTACTCCAATCAATTCTTGGAATACCCACAATATATTGACACCTGGGAATTGGTTCATTTTTCTAATATATGAAAATAAAAAAGAGTCAATAATAAAAGTCAATAATAAATTGAAATACGCGTTTACTGACTAACTTGTTCAAATTAAAAAAATTAAAGAAAAAAATATTAGTCGAAAGTTAAAAGATACGAACCCTATCACGCAAATCTCGAGCGAATTGTATAGGGTCTCTTAGAGCTTTTTCTTTTAGAATTTTCAATTTATTTATATCTTCTCTTGCCTTTTGCAATTGATATTTTAGGACGTTGTAGGCTCTTAAGACCATTTCATAACTGATCAAAATATAATTTAAAAGTTAAAACCCATGATAAAAAAAAAAAAAGAGTATAGTACGATAATTTAATTAGGAAAAGAACAAACTCTTCATTTTCAATTAATATCCTTTCTTCCAAACTATATTCATTTGATTCTTCCGTATCACTACCAATCGTGACACATTCTTCGTTCGCTTCAATATCTTGGGAAGCATCGTTTTTCGATACGAGGCGTGAATCTCGAGCCATTTCTGGTTGTGAATCAGATTTTTGTTCTTGTACATGATCTTGATTTTTCATTAGTTCTTGTTCAGGCAGTTGGGTTTCCTGAGAATTTTGGCGCAGTTCGTGGTCTTGGGGTCGTGATTCAGAAGAAATATTTGTATTTGAAGCACCAACCTCTTTAGCTGAACCACCAATATGGTCACCAACTTGAAAGGAAGGTGTATCATTTACAGAAATGTCAAACGCGATTGGAGACATAAAAAAGGATCAAAAATGAAAGACCAAAGAAATAGTCACAAAAAAATTTTTTTTTGATAAGTATATATTGGAAACGAAAAAAAAAAAATGATAATAAAACGTAACGTAACACAACAGAAATTCAGATGAAGGCGCAGCGGTTTTGGCAATTATGTCTAGCCTAATATATATTCATCTTGCCATTAAAATCCTGTAATTACTAATAAAATACAATAACACAATAATACAATAAATTTACACTTAACTGACTTGTCAAATTAGATTGATTATTTAGATTATTCAGTTACAGATCTTGTACACCGTCTCATCGTCTTACGTCAAACACGTTACTTTTACACGTTGCATTGACGTGATGTCATACGAGTTATACGAGTTGTTGTTTTGTAAATTATCAATCATTGTTCTATTATTTATTATTTATTATTTATTATTTGTTATTTTGTGGTTGCGTTGCCACCTATCAGTTAATTTGTTCCCATATTTGTTTAAATTGATGATGACATCCATTCGTAAACTTTGTCGTCTTCCACCTAATTTGGCTTTAAAGCCAGAACAACTTTCAAGTTTAACCTCGTTTCCTCATAACCCTATACGCACCACAAGAGATTTGTTAGTTCGAAGTGAACTAGAGTTGATACAATGTTGCAACTTGGAATCCGAAGTTGTTGAAAGCATTATGAAGAAATGCGCAAAGTGGATAGCCCCAAAAAATAAAACGGTAATTTAAAATAATTAAAATGATTTTTTTTTTTTTGAATTTCAAAAAAAAACATAATTTTTTTTTTAAAAAAAAAGATTTATTACCTTATAGGCATTAGAATTATTGAAAGCTAGTAAAGAAAAAGGAAAAGAAGCTTTTTTGTCAACCTCATTACCAAGTTTAGATCAAGCTTTAGGTGGAGGTATACATTGTTCCTCATTAACAGAATTAGTAGGTCCAGCTAATTCAGGTAAAACACAATTCTGCCTTACATTATCTATTCTTGCCACAATGCCCACTAGTATGAATGGTCTTGATGGAGGAGTTTGTTATATAGATACTCAAGGAGCATTTAGTGGCGAAAGGTAAAAAAATTTACCAGTAATCTGAATTTAATTTCTTAATTTAATTTCTTGATTTAATAATAATTCTTTATAATCTTTAATTATTTATAAAAGATTGGTTCAAATTGCACAGAATAAATTTCCTCAAATATTTGATATTGAAAATATTCAATGGGAGATTAATTTAAAAAAAATGACAGATTCAATTCATGTGATAAGAATTAAATCTTCCAATGAATTAAAGAATAGGTATAAAAATATTATCTGATTATTCATTATATTATATTATTATATTTATTTGATTTTCATTATTCAGATTAGAAAATCTTCAAGAATTTATTATAGAGAATAATATTCGATTATTGATAATTGATTCTTTTGGAGCACTGATAAGAACAGAATCTCTTACTCAAAATATGAATCTCTTTAATGATCAAACAAAGACATTAGTTGCAAGAAGTCATTTAGTAGTCAAATTGGCAACAATTCTCAAGTAAGAATAATCCTTGTATTGAGAGAGAGAGATATATATATATGTATATGTGTGTGTATATTTTATATACTTAAAATAATTATTTTTGAAAAGATTTCTATCTGAGTCATTTAATATGGCAACGGTAGTCACCAATCACATAATAACAGTTTATCAACAAACAAAGACTGTGTATGAATCAAGTGGTATTAATGATGTTAATCTTATTAATGTTAATAATCGCTGGAATGGTAATTAATTTTAATATTTCAATCAATTTCAATATTATTTATTATTCCTACTACTACTACTACTATTATTATTATTATCATTATCATTATTATTATTATCATCATTTTCTTAAGAACCAGAAACATTTGTAAAAGCAGCTCTAGGAAATACATGGGCACATTCAGTTAACACCCGATTATGGATAGATCTTTGTAAATATCATCCAGTTATTTTACGAGTAAATCCATCCATTCCCAAAAATGTTCGAAAAATTATTATCAAAAAATCACCGATTGGACCAAATAAAGCATTTTATTTTATGATGGAAGTAAAAGGAATGGTGGAATATAAGTTATCCAAAGATTTAAATAAAGATTTGGGAGAAGATTTGAATAAAGATTTGGGAGAAGATTTGAATAAAGATTTAAGCAAAGATTTAGGAGAAGATTTAAATAAAGATTTGAACAAAGACTTGAGCAAAGATTTGGGGAAACAAGGAGCAGAAGAAATATACGTCTATCAAATCGCGATGGAAACGTAACATATAAAAATAAACAATTAGAAATAATGTATGAAATGTATAATAATAATAATAATAATATACGTAAACAAAACGTCAAAAAGAAGAAAAATCAAAATCAATAAGAATAATCGTGAATAATCTTGAATAATTGGCGAATAATTAGCGAATAATAACGGTAAACAAAATAATGAACAAATTTTTGGTAATAAATCATAAATTAATAAAATTGTAATATTTTTAATATTTTTAAATTATAGAAAAAACTTCTTTTTTTTTTTTTTTTATTAAATTATTTCAAATCTATTAAAACTATAATGTATATAATGTACAAAAATCTAAAAAAAATCCTATTGTTGTCATTTTATTTTATTTAATAAACATCATTAATTAATTATTGGAAATAAATTTTTCTCTAAATAAAAAATTAAATTAAAAGTAAAAGCGAAATTATTATTAAAAAAAAAAAAAAAAAGAATAATGTGAAGTGAGTTTGTTTCAATATAAATAAGACTTCATAATTTTTTATCAAGAAAATGATAAAATAATAATTATTAAATTGTTTATAAAATTGTAAGATATTTTACAAAAAAAAAAAATTTAAAAAAAAAGGGAATTCAATTTTCAGCAACCTTTGTCCATTATTCTCGCGCAATACCTAAGATTTTATACTAATTTTTAGAATATCATTGGTGGTGATGATGATAGATTTTTCCGGTCTTCCATATAAATAAGTTGATATCATAACAATGATCGCACCCATGGTGAATTGTGAACTTGGATGAAAATCAAAACAATAAAAACTAATGATTCCCGAAATTATGATGGATAAAGAGGTCGCGAATCCTTTAAGAATGTTATCCGCGTATTTCACCACGATCGCAACAAGAATTCCACCCAATGCTTGATTCGCCACCACCGAATAAGTAAGCGAATCATACCCTTGTAAAAATCCTCCTTCCCATATATTTTGGGTATCATAAAATATCATTCCCAAGAATGAAAATAATGCTCCAGTAATTCCCATTTGAATATTTCTAATCCACATACTCGTTTCCGAGGTCTTTAAAATCTTTTCAAAATAACATCCCGCAAATCCCGATGACACGCATGACGTTATGACCGCGATTAATCCAATTAATGGATTTTGTGCGACTAAAAGTAATTGACTCGTTGGGTGTGTAGTAGATCTCGTGTTTACTACTGAGTTATCAATTGTATTTTCAATTGGATCATCTATTGTCGTTGTTCGAATTATATTATTATTATTATTATTATTATTAGAAGCTTTAACTGTGTTAACCGTTTGTAATTGTACCAAAGTCACACCGATCATTAAAAGAACTAATGCAAACCATTTCCCTTGCGTCAATGATCTACCTAAGAGTATAACCGAGAATATTGCAGTGGAAAGAATTTTCATTTGATAAGTGACTTGAAATGTTGCTGCTTCAAGATTTGATAATGCTACATATAATAAATTATTTTGTAATGCATATAATGCTGATGGAATAAACATTTTAAGTGTTTCTCCGGGTTGACCCAAAATTTCTTTATTCACCACGTACCAAAATCTTTCTATTGATTTTTTTTGAAATAAGATAACTGCAAGGCAAGCAATTATTTTAATCAATTCTGCTAGATATACTGCCGTTGATGTTATATACATATTTTCCCCCGGTTTTTGTCGAATTCGTGAATATCGCATCATTAAAACCAACGTGGAATTTTGAATAACAAGGATAAGTAATGAAAGTTGTTTTTTTGAAAATCCAAATATTCGTAACTCTAAATTTGTTCATAATAATAATAATAATAATAATATAACAAATGAGAGATATTCGAAATAATTTATTTTAATGATATAATAAATAATTTATTTTTTAATGATTTATTAATAATTTAATAAATAATTAACAATATAGATATTAATATAAATAATTAATATAATAAATATGTAAAGAAAAAACTTTAATCAATATAATAAACAAAGAATGAATTACCTTGTGGCAATATTTTATGATGTGGATGAATATTCGTTAAGGGAAGGGACTCCTTTTCATTCAATTTATGCATCTTGAGGTATATTATGTTTATTTAAAAGAGAACGAGACTATTCTGTTTTAAACAGCTTCGGATCGCTGAGATCTACTTCTACTTTCAAATATTATTTTTTGATGTCAAGACGCGTTAAAAGAGGACTTCAAGCTCGATTTCCTTAGAAGGATTAGAAGCAAAGATCATAATGTTTTTTTGATACTCAGATCGACATGCGTTGACGGTTTGTATGACCCAAACAAATTTGTTTTTTTATTACTCTTAGGTTATTGGTTCAAAAAGGAAAATTAATTAAGAATTTTATCCCTTTTTAGATTTCTTAAAAACAAAGAATCACAATCACGCGCCATTTTATTTTATTTTATTTTTTTTTTTGGCAAAAAATTTATAATTAATAATTAATATAAATCGAAGTGAACATGTGCTACACGGAATTATCAGTGATCAAGATACCAAAAATAAATAATAATACTTATCAAAAAAGAAAAATTCTTTGCTATCAATTTTTGAAATATTTTTATTAAGAGAATTTTTCTTTTAATAAATTTTCATGGTTGCTAATTATTAATCCTTGATTCGAATTACAAGTTATACTTATTATTAAAATATATATATATATAATTTTGATATAATTTCAATCGGGTGTAAATATTTAAAGTGGGGCACCCCCCACTGCACTTTATTGAAATATTCGAAATATCAGATGGAATAAAGATACATAATAATAATTAATAATCTAAGAACTAAACTAATCCTAAAAAATAAAAATAAAAAAAAAATAAAAAAATAAAAATAAAAAATAAAAAAATAAAATAAAGCGCGTAAACTAAAACTATTTAATTCTAACTAAAACTATTTAAATTCTAACGAAATTCTAACTAAACTATTGAAATTACATCTCCAGCTAGTCTTCATCTTCTCTTGAAATTATCATCATCGTCTACGGTTGGTCATCATCCACGGTTGGTATTATCGTCATCCACGGTTGGTCGCCATCATCCACGGTTGGTATTATCGTTATCATCTACGGTTGGTATTATCTTCATCATCTACAACAGTTTTGGTATTTTTGGTCGGGGATTAAGAGTTCCTGTTAACTGCTAATTACAAGGACCCAAATATAAATTCTTGAATTTCAGATTTAGTAATAATCGGGTGGTCCTTGCGAACATATGCCCACACTTCGGATTTGGAAAGAACGTCGTCGTAATTCGGTGCGGTCCACAAGGCGGAAATCGGCAGTTTAACGGGTGTCGGTCCACGGAAAAAGAAATGTCGGCGGATTTCGGTAAGTGTGAGACGAGAATCTAATAATAAAGAAAATAATTAGTAAAATAATTTAATTATATAAGTTTAAAATAATTTTTTTTATACTTACTATAATCTGGATTGAGTATTCCAGAAATAAGATTTTTAGCAGCATGTGATACTTCAATATCATCAGGAAACTCAAAATCGGCATTTAAAATTCGACTAAAAATTATTATTATAACAAATTATTAAACGAATTTTTATTTAATAAATTAATTAATAAATTTTTACTTACTTAATAGTCACTGATCGGTCAGTATCATAAAATGGATGCCTTCCGAAGAGCATGATGTACCTATTATTAAATAATAATAATATTTATTAATATTTTTGTAAAATAATTTAATAATAAAAATAAATTATATAAAATTTTTCTTACATAATGACACCAATTGCCCAAATGTCAGCCTCATATCTATAACCAACTTCGGGTTTCAACATTTCCGGTGCCATATATGGCAACGTTCCACAGGGAGTTCTATAATTATAAAATATTAATATTATTAATAAATATTATTAATTAATATGATAAATTTATATTAATATATTAATTAATTAATTATAAATTATTTACCTTGCACGTTCATCTGTGGAAGTAAATTCAGTTGACAACCCAAAGTCCCCAACTCTTAAATCTAGATCATCTGACATGAAAATATTGTCAGGTTTGAGATCTCTATGCAAGATATTACTATCATGCATATAGCTTATAGCATCAATTAACTGAATCATGTATAGGCGAACTTCAGCTTCAGTTAATTCCCCTCTATTATATACCATATCAAAAAGGGACTATTGATAATATTATTTAAAATTATAAACATTATATTAATTTTTATATATTATAATATATTAATGAAATAACAAAATATTAAATATTAAATATTACTTACTTGATTGGAGCAAAGCTCCATTTTAAAATAAATGAAGTCTGAGTCCTCAAATACATCATAGAGATTAACGATGTATGGATGATTGAGATTATAATGAATGTTGGCTTCATTAAGAATCTATAAAAAAATTAAAATTATGAATTAAATTTTACAATTGAAAAATAAAATTTTATTAATTTAAGCAATTTTTACCACATCATAATTTTGTTCAGTTTTTTTCTCAATTGCTTTTAGAGCAAACAATTCATTAGCTCTATTTGCAACTTTTAGACAAATACCAAAACTGCCCTAAAATTTTAAAATCAAATAATGTTTGTTTATTATTTATATATAGAAAAAAAAGAAGAAAAGAAAAAAATTATTTAAATTATTTACTTTTCCAAGGACTTGAAGAACATTATATTCTTCATTAGGTCTATTAGTAGGTCGAATAATTTGTTGAGGCATTTTTGTAAAACTCATTTTAAATAAATTTAATAAGTTTTTTAAAGAGGTTTTATAAGTTTTAAAGTTTTTTTAAAAAAATATTTTTTTTTTAAAAAAAAAGTAGAGATCTGAAATTTCAAAAAAAGGGAAAACTAGATCTATTTATAATTAAATAATTCCTATTGTTTGTTTACAAAAACACGTAAATTTTATTTTATTTGTTTATTATGATGATCACAAAAATCAGTTATTTATGATGATTACATAAATAAGTTATTTATGATGATTACATAAATAAGTTATTTATGATGATTACATAAATAAGTTATTTATGATGATCACATAAATAAAGTTATTAATGATGATCATATAAATAATGATGATCACATAAATAAAACTATTAATGATGATCATATAAATAATGATGATCACATAAATAAAGCTATTAATGATGATCATATAAATAATGATGATCACATAAATAAAGTTATTAATAATAATTATATAATTATTACCATAGTGTTGTTTATTTATTTATAATTATATAAATAATCATGTAAATAAGTTTATTTTTATATTATTTATTTTTTATTTTAATATATAAATTTTTTATATAATATAAAGTATTTAATTATTAATATTAACTCAATATTTATGTATTTACACTACAAATTATATAAATCGAAAAAATTATATTTAGATATCTATTAGATATATAATAGATATCTAACTTGTTTTAAAATTTGAATACTTTTTGAATATTTAATAAATATCTAATAGGTATATTTATAATTTATTAGTAGTTACATATAAAAGTTTTAAATTTATAATTAAATCGTTAAAATATTAATAAGTAAACTTGTAGATAATAAAAATTTATATTATTTGTAAAAACTTTAGTTCTATTCAATTAAAATTGAGAGAATTATTAATATTTTAATTTGTATAACTATTTAAATTTTAATTATCAATTCAATTTTAATAAAATAGATTTAATAATTAAGTTTTATAATGAATTCTATAAGTACTTGATAAATTATATATTTATTTAAAATTAAAATAATTTATAATTATAGTTATATATAAAAGTTTTTAATTATAAAATTTAATTGTCAAAATGTTATTAAGTAAACTTGTAGATAATAAAAATCTACATTATCTATAAAAGTGTTAGACCTATTTTATTAAAATTAAGAGAATTATTAGTGATCAAAGTTTAAATAACTATACAAATTAAAATATTAATAATTTTATTAATTTTAATTAAATAATATTAAAATTTTTACAGATGATATAAATTTTTATTATTTACAAGTTTACTTAGTAACATTTTAATAATTAAGTTATATAATTAAAAACTTTTATATGTGATCACTATTATAAATTATTTTTAATTTTATATTATAGTGAATTTTGTTTATTCAATTAATTATATATTTATATAAAATTAAAGATAATTTTGTTTTTTAACACACCGTGTGAAATTTATTGATAACAAATAAAGGTGACAAATATGAATTTCACATATTAAAAATTTCAAGTCCCTAATAAAAATTAATATTTAACAAAAGGTATCAGTTTTGTGTGACAAAATAATGTATGTAGTACCAAAAAAAATAATGATCTGTTATACAGTTTACCCTGTTTTGGGCACATGAGATTTATTATAGCCCAAGTCCCCACAAATTTTTACCCGAACCCTTGCATTTGGTCATGTTATAAAAAACTTGTAATTCAACCAATAAAATTTTGATAAAGTAGCCCATGCGCCTTGACGCGTTTAAATATCAATTTTCGTATTAAATATTACTGATAGTTCTTCGTTAAGTAACCCATCCAATGTCGAATTATCTCTATTATAAAACCATTTTTGATGTTTTAGATCATAATCATAACGTTTAGGTCCACTAATTTTATTATTAAAAAAATTATATAAAATTATAAAAAAAATTATATATAAAATTATAATTAAAATTATTAAATTTTATTAACCTTATTGGAGATGATAACCAAATTTGTTTATTGGGAGGTTGTTTATTAATTACATAAGTACCCGAAGGTCCACATCTAAGTGTCAAAACACCACTCTGATACATAGATATAAAAAAAAAATGAAAAAAAAAATTTAAAGAGAAAAATATAATTAATTAAAGACTAAAAATGGTTTGAATTTTCAAGAAATAAAAAATGATAACGAACCATTTTACATGAACTCACCGAATATTCAACATCATAATCTTTTAAATCTATTTTTTCTCCTAAAGTTTCTAAGTATTCCAATAATTTCTCCATGGTTTCTTCTGACAATTGGTGATATGTGGAATCCGAAAGTTCACTATATATAAAAATTAATTCAAAATAAAAGTTAATAAAATAAAATAAATTAATAACTTAAAAAAAAAAAAACTTACCTAATTGTATATTTATTATTTTGATCCGTTGAAGTATACCAGCGAATTGTATAAACTCCATGATTTTCGGTTTTAATAAAGGTTCTCCTGGATCTTTGAATTAATGAGAAAGGTTTGACCCTTGAAATTATACAAGATGTACTAAAACGTGATACCAGAAGTAGATTGTTGAAATTATTTTTAATGAGAAAGGTTTTTCGGGATAAAAAGGAATAAAAAGAATGTTGCATTCGAGGAATCATCATGAAATTTTTTTTATTATTAAAAAAGAAAAGAAAGATTTCAATAATCTTTTGATTATTGAAATTTAATTGGTTGGATAATTTTAAATGATGTTATTTGCTTGAATAACATAAAAAAAAAAAAACGTTTATTTATCATGGATACGATAACTATTAATGAAGAATATGCTAGAAAATATGAAGAAAGAAAAAGAGGCGAAGAATTATCAAAACGTAAATAAATATATATATATATATATATATTTTTTAGAAATATTGTTATTATTATTTTTACTTACGTTTCTCAGAACTTGATACAATAAATAGTTAAAGAAAAATATGGTAAAGATATCGATTTACGTTCTAACGAAGAAACAGATGAATCGACCTCAGAAGAGGAAGATGAATATGGAGATTTGATAACTCCCGAGGTGGATGTACAAATCATGAAAACGATATCAGCCATAAAATCCAAAGATCCCAAAGTATATAACCCAAATTCAAGTTTTTTTTCAGGTGAATTTTTATGATTTGGATATCGAACAGGCATAAATTAAATTTAATTAATTAAATTAATTCAATTAATTAATTCAATAAAAATACAATTTTTTTTAAAAAAATCCTTTTTAATAAAGTTTAACATTTTGGGGGGGGGGTATGGGTATTAAAAAAATAATTTATTGTTTTTTTTTTTTTTAATTTATTTTATTATTTACTTATTTATTCATTACAGAGGAAGAAATGAAAAGTTCATGGAAAAATTGGTTAAATAGGAATCAACGGAAGGTAATTTATTTAATTTTCATGATGCGTAACAATGTATTAGATATATTAGATATATTCGATATATTGGATATATTGGATATATTGAATATATTATGTATTAGATTATATATTATTTAAATTATATATTATTTAGATGCGTTATGATGTTCAACCATGCTAATACTGAATTTATATAAATTATATAAAAATTAATGAAGGATTTTTCAAAGTGCTGAACGCATTCATCTTTATAGATTTATTTTATTAATTTAATTTAATTTAATTTTATTAATTTAATTTATAAAAATTATAAAAAAATTATTCTATTTATTTTTTTAGGATGAAAAAAAACCCATTTATTTAAAAGACTATCAACGTCAAATATTATTGGAAGATGGTGGTGACATAAGTAATGAAGATGATGATATGACCAAATTGACCAAATCTAAATTGGAAATCCCATCATCAAAAATTGGGTTAACTCCTGTTGAAGAAGAACGAAAGTTAAAGGATGAATTCAAAGCAGCAGTTTCTGAATTTGAAAATGATGGAAATGATGGTGACGACGATGATGATCATTTTTTGGTTAAACGTCAAAAAACTGTAGATGAATTAAAAAAAGAGGAGGAAGAATATCAAAATTTCTTATTAGAGTGTATGGCGGTGAGAAATTAAATTTAATATAGTATATATATATAAATTAATGTATTATTTACACTAACGGTTTTCTTTATAGAAAGGTAATGGAGAATCTGTCAAAATGTGGCAGAATTATAAAAAGAATCCCACTGTTAAAGAGGATGATGCCTTTCTGATGGAGTATGTTTTTAATTTCTTTTTCATCAAATTAAAAAATTCCTTTTATTTCTTTTAAATAATTAAATTATCATTATACAAAAAAATAAAATATATATATTCCTAGTTACATACTTAATCGTGGTTGGATTGACAAAGATTCAACCCGAATTCCAACATATGAAGAACTAATAACTGAACATCATGATGAGGAAGAAGAACAATTTGATGAAGCCGTAGATAATTTTGAAAGTAAATATAACTTTAGATTTGAAGAAGAGTATGTGAATAATACTTTTTTTTTTTTTAATTAAGAGTTATTTGTATTATTATATTATTATTATAATTTATATTATTATTATTTTTTTATCATATTATTTATATCATTATTTTTCATTGTTATTTAGAGGAAGTTCGAAAATAACTACTTATTCTCGAAATACGGGAGATTCGGTTCGAAGGTACGAAGAGAAATTTTATAATTGACCATTTTCCTAGATTATGAAAAATTTGATAAAATTGATAAAATTCGATATATAGAACTGATAACAAACGTAAGATTAAACGGCAAACAATAGAAGAACGTAAAAAAGAAGAAAAACAACAAAAAGCTGAAGAATTGAAACGACTTAAAAATATCAAGAAAAGAGAAATTTTTGAGAATTTACAAAAGATTAAAGAAATAACCGGAAACAAGAGTATATATTTGAAAGTCATTTTTTTTTAAAAAAAAGAAAAAAGGAAAAAATTCTTAATAATTAATTAATTATCTTTTTTTTTAATTTAGGCGTTGGTTTTAATGAGATAGATTTAGAAGAAGATTTTGATCCTGAAAAATATGACCAAAAAATGAGTGAAGTTTTTAATGAGGAATATTATACTCAAGAGGTATGAAAAAGAAATCATTTGTTATAAATTGAGAATAAATTTATGATTTATATATTATTTGTTTTATTTAATCATTTATAATTTAAAGGTAGATAATGAAAAACCGGAATGGAATGATGATATCGATATTGATTATGTAGGAAATGATGATGTTTATGATGATATAGGAAATGATGGTTATGGTGATGACGGAAACTTTATAATGGATGCTGATTATTTGCCAGGGGGTGAAAATTATGAAGCAAAAACTACGAAAAAAAGTAAATAAATAAATAAATTTTTATTTTATTATTTTATTTTTATTTATTTATTGTATTTTTAATGGGATTTTTACTCTAGAACGAAAACATCACCAAAGTGAGATAAAAGAAGAAGTCAAACAGAAATTTGATGAATACTTGGATGAATATTATCAATTAGATTATGAAGATATAGTGAGTTAAAATAAATAAAGTAGATGATGATTATTTATTACATTCCATTTTAATATTTATAATATTTGGACTAATGGAAAAAAAATAATATATTTAAACAGATTGATGGTACTCCCGTACGATTTAAATATCGCCAAACCAAACCTGTTTCATTTGGGTTGACACCCGCTGAAATTTTGGTGGCTGACGAAAATGATTTAAATGAATTTATATCTTTAAAGAAATTGGCACCGTTAGTATTTTTTTGGGAGATTTGATTGGTTTATTTAAATCAAACATTAAATATATTTTGTACTTATTTATTTATGATTATTATGATTTCAATTTAAAGATTTCGTCCTGATAATGTTGTGAATAAGGATATAAAGAAATATTCCAAAAAGAAACGAATTCGAGAATTTCGCAAAAAACTTGAACGCGCGGAAATTGATAATCCCCCGGAAAATAAATCGTGGAGTATCAAATCAATTAAACGCAAAAAGCATGAGGCTCAAAAGGAAATACAAGAAAAACAAAAATCCGTTAAAAGTAATAAAAAGAAGAAAAATCGTAAAAAGTCCTGAATTACTTTTATATTTATATTTCAGTAATTTATTCAATTTTATTCAATTTTATTATTGAAACAAACAAACAACAATTAATGTAATTAATAATGTTAAATTAAAAAATTATCTAATAAATATTTACCTTTATTTTTATAGTAATATTTATTTTAATATAAAAATTAGGTGATAAAATCAAGCTGCACAAAATTTGGGTAATAATGCTATTACTGTTATATAGCTTTATGTAGTGTTATATAATGATTACATAGTAATTTATAGATTTTTAACTGATCACTTGTCATTGACATATTAATAGAAAGAAAGATATTTTCTTGTAATATAAAATCTGGATATGTCTTTATTAATAAAAGTTAATATTATGGAATTTTTTTGTATACTTAATTTTGTTTCATTTTTTGAAAAAATAAAATGTGTACAGTCATGTCGGAAAGTAACACCCGATTTTTTATTAAAAATAATTCCGATGATTTACTCTATTTCTATATTATATATATAAAGTTTTTTTTTTATAATTTGTTGGCCCTCCCTTTTCATCCAATGCTATTTCGATTCTTTGCGGCATTAATTTGACCAATTTCATTCCAAATATCTTGAATATTTTTTCACAATTTACTTGAAAATTTTACAGGAAGTTTCCTTAAACGCCTATCAACCTCATCTCAACGAGATTTAAATCGGGTGATTATGCTGGCCAATCAAGTACCTTTACATTATTTTCTTCAAACCATTCCTTTGATTTTTTAGCAGTATGCTTTAGATCATTGTCCTGTTGAAAGATAATATCCTCCTTATTTAAATCATACCAGATATGTTTGTATAGATGTTTCTCTAATTATAGAATGTGGATACTTTGCTAAGAACTGTTACACAAGTCAAAATCGCAACAGTTATTTAAAAAAAACAAGTATAAATTATAAGTAAAAGTATAAACGTATAAACAATCTGTAAAACATAATTAACTTTATTAAACAAAACCTTTGGCCACTTATTTCCCACATAATACGTAGGTACGATCTTACCCCTGACAGAATAAAAACTATCTTTCTCAAAAATTGCCTGAGTTTCAAAATCTTTTTCGTGAGACTCAAGAGATACAAACAAAACCATCTCGATTTCGTTGTCCTCAAGTTCAACAGGATAAACACCAATAGCCCACAATACCAGCAACTTGCTATTCTGTTTTTCGGTCTGACGAACTAATTTGATCTTTACAATGGTATCAGCATAACACGGCATTACAAAACAATTTTTTCTTTTCAACAATTACAAACAAACTATATATATTTGTACATGTACACCAAAAATCAAAAACGTTTAACACACTAACAAAGTTGTAACACGAACATTTAACAAAAAATTTATTAACCCTTAATACTATCAAAACTACAAATTTCCCCATTCCAAAGGCACGGGTCCATGGTGTTCAAAGGGTAGGTCGTTATACTCTTGAAGATCTAATACAGTTTGCTCGTAGTAAAAATGGAGAATGTATTTCAACTGAATACATCAATATTATAACTCCGTTATTGTGGCGTTGTGCTAAAGGTCATATATGGAATGCCTCTTTTGATAATGTAAAGAATAAAAATTCTTGGTGTCCATTTTGTCTTGGATATTATTGAACAATTGAGGACATGCGTATATTTGCACAGGAAAAAGGTGGTTACTGTCTTTCAAATCAATATCTTAATGTGAAAACGAAGCTTCTTTGGATTTGTGCGAAATTTCATATGTGGAAAGCTTCTCCATATAGTATTTTACATGGTTCCTGGTGTCCATTCTGCCCTAAATATAAAAGAGAAAAGTTATGTCGTGAAATTTTAACAGAATATCTTGGCTCTCCTTCACTAACCCACAGGCCTGAATTCTTAAAAAATTTTATCCGCAATATGGATTTGCAATCGAAGTACAAGGCATACAACATGAAAAATATATCGAATTCTTTCACAGAAGCGATCCCATATTTTATCAAACAGCAAACACGGGAACAACTCAAGAAAGAATTGTGCGAAGAAAACTGGATCGTTTTAAGATATGTTGAAGATCCATATGTAGTTATTCCAAATATTCTTCGAGAACTAGGTCTCATTGAATAGAGATAAACTTTAAATTGTAAATTATAAATCAATATTATCAAGCACACAAAAAATACTATCCAAAATTATTTAGTGAAATTAGATTGCATTTACATTTTGCTTTCTTATTGTTGGCGACTATTTGGTCATAATTGTCATCGTTACATGATTAATTTCCATTTTTTAATTTGATAATCAAAAACACGAATATTTTGTTTGTAAAATTTATTATTGATAATAAATTGTAATAATTATTATAATTACTTTTTATAACAATGATCATCATCGGATGATTAAAAATGATGATATGAACTTTATTATGGTGATCTCAGTGTGACCAATTCTCCATTGTATAAGGGTGCACCTTCCCGAGATTCTGGAGAGTAAAGAGCTAAGTTATATAAGGCTAAGTCCACTTTTTCCAAAGTTTCGTTCAGGGTGCTGATATGATTTTGTAGGGTTGCCTGCATTTTCATTGATTAATCAGAAACTTTGTTTATTCACCATTCTATATTCTGAAAAAAGTGAAGCTTACCCTCAATTTCCACAATTCACTTACAAATATAGTAAGCGAAGACTGACCATGATTCATAGGGATCTGTACAGTACCAAGTCACTGAACAAAGTAGAAAGCCCCAAATGGCATAGTCATGACCCAACACGCCATAGTTTCTCCTAGAGAAAAAGGTTATTAATGACACGAACCTCAAACCATCTACGGATAAAAAAAATAATTACAAATATATACCCACAATTTGGATGCCAAATATTGGTATCCTGGAAAGATCATCTTCTAAGTCCTTCATTTCTTTACACTTCCCTTTAGTGATCTTTCTCAATAATCGTACGTGGACATCTTTCATGATCTTAATCAACTTATACCAGTCATCACAAATTTTTTTGCTAGTTGAAAGGACTCACCTCCATGAGACATATTTCTACCTCTTCAGCAACTAACGTTGATTTTACCTGAAAATCAGGTTTACGTCCAACTCTAATTTCCCCAGAATTATCCATCCTGCGCTGAGAGGCCTCAGAAACTTCTTCAGTCCTACCATAAATATGCCAAAATTATTATCGAATTCATGTATTTCTAACATGATTAAGAACCTTACCAACAAACTTTTAGTTTGATATTTTTGTAATGGAATAATGGATCAAAAAAACTAGAAACTATTCGAACGATATATGTCCCTTCAGTATATTCGTCTTTGTCATCATCCTTAAAGTAACACCAGATATGCCAGCTGTGAAAATAAAAATTTTAATAGCTGTTTAATTAAGACAGGAAAGTTTGAAACACTTACATTGAGTCTATAATTTTATGCATTATGCATATGTTCTCGAATTCTTCATCGCTTCCTCGAAAATCCGCTGATACATGTGGAAGAGGAACCATCATCTCCTTCTTGTTTAAGCTCTTAGATTTTTCAAATAGAGCTTTGACCAATTCAGAGACAGCAGGATCCACTTCGAATTGATTATATCGTAAATGCACGATTTGTCTTAAATCCTTTTTTTGATCTTCCGTCAATTTTCCAAATATTATATCTGAATCTCGGTCAACAATACAACAAAAACTGAGAGGATCATTCCACTTAAGATTGTCGACATTAAAAGACTTAAAGAGCTTTTTTAACTTGTATAGCAAGGATAAATACGGTGATGTTTCTTCCTGTATTACAGTTTTCTGCAAAGAAGTATTTAAAAAAAGGTAAAAAAAAACTAAATACACTCGTTAAGTACATTACCAATCGCTTCTGGATTTTCTCCTTGTTTGAAGAGATGAGATTTAACTCGGTGGAATTTATAAATATGGGAGAAATCTGAAACATATAAAATATATCAATACAAGTAATGGGCAAAGGTACTAAAACTAAAATAAAATCAACCAACCACTGATTCCATAGCCTCAATTGTTGATATATATTGCGTCCTTTGTCTTTTCTGTTAAAAATAGAGGGATTAATAATTGAAATGCTATATATAATTTATAGTTCTATACACTCATTTTAAAATCAGATCTACTTTGTATACCACGAACGGCCATCAGGGCCCAAATCTCAGGTATGAGTCGGTGGTGTTTCTAAAAGTAGATGAATATTCGTACACCACGAACGGCCATCAGGGCCCAATCCTCAGGTGTGAGTCAGTGGTGTGAAATTCATTTTTCTCTCATCATATCATATAATATAGGTGAAGTAAAATGTCCTGTCAATACTTGCGTCATTTATATTATCAAATCCTTCATAAGCTTTTCGCAGAGTGTTACTGGACTTGGTGGAGTGACGTAAAGCTTTTTCACAAGTCAATTTGTATAGATTGAACATGTCACTCATACAACCGTAACATCCATTGTTTATATAAATGGTATAACTGAACCACGATGAAAACCGTACTCTTCTGTCATTATCACAATTTATTTTCAAATATTCAGTACCGAAATCAGACCAGCCAAGATATTTAAACTCCTGTTCCATTGTAATATCAAGATTTAAGGCAAAAAAATCGCTCATCTTGAAGAAAATATATTAGGAAAAAAGGTAGAGAAGAAAATATATTAGGTAAAAAGGCTGAGTCGTGTATCCTTATTATATCAATTGTGTAACTCCTACTATATAATAATTATGCAAGGTGTGTAATATAGTATGAGGTATGACGATATAAGCTAAACGTTATTTTGTACTGTACGATTTTATATAAATTTTTGCACAAAATTCGTACAATAATATATATATTATATTAAAAAGCCGAACAATACTAAATATAAACCCAACCCCTGTAATATATATTTTTATCTATTTATGTCAAATTTAGGGGTTAGGATTTATGTCACATGAAAATCAATTAAGGGTGTTACATTTTATTATCACCACCTCAACACACCCCAACATTCAATTTTTCATCAGTAATTATATTAATTCGAAAACCTTCGAAATTATATCGCAACGTTAGATTTCGAAGGTTATCAATTGTGTCGCAACCCTTCGAAATCGAAATTTAACGGTTAAATTTCGATATGTATTATTTCATTATCGAAAACCTTCGAAGTTCAATA